TCAAGTGGTAGAGTGCTAGCCTTGAGCTGAAGAGCTGAGGGACAGTGCCCAGGCCCAGAGTTCAAGCCCCATGACCGACAAAAAAATAAATAAATAAATAAATAAAAATAAAAAACACCTACTTTGACCTGGGCACAGTGGCTCATGCCTATAATCGTAGCTACTCAACAGGCTGAGCTCTGAGGATCGACGTTCAAAGCCAGCCCAGGCAAGAATGTCTGTAAGACTCCAATAAACCACTAGAAAAGCAGAAGAGGTGCTGTGGCTCAAGTGGTAGAGTACTCATGTTGAGCTGAAGAACTGAGGGACAGTGCCCAGGCCAGAGTTCAAGCCCCAGGACTGAGAAAAAAAAAAAAAAAACTACTTTTTTAGCTGGGTACCAGCGGCTCAAGCCTGTATTCCTAGCTATTCAGGAGGCTGAGATCTGAGGATCATGGTTCAAAGCCAGCCCAAGCAGGAAAGTCCATGAGACTCTTATCTCCAATTAACCACCAGAAAACTGGAAGTGGAGCTGTGGCTCAACTGGTAGAGTACTAGCCCTGAACACAGAGAGGCTCAGAGACAGTGCCCAGGCCTCATCACCACCATCATTACCATCATCATCATCATCATCATCATCAAGTAAAATTAGACGAATGGCATACCCACCTAGGAATATTAGAGTGTCCCATTTACTTTAGTTTGGCCTCTAGAGGTAGTACGTCTATCTTGGCATCTGCTCCACGTACATACTCCTCTTGTGAAAGCTAGTACAACCCATGGCACCTGGCTGTTTACCAGTCCATCTGCTGAACATGTACATGTGTCCGTGCCATGCCAGATACCACATGTACTTCACTTCCCTGTTTCCAAACACCCCCTGGAATCCAAAAAGCTCCAGAAGTTGACTCCAATGTCTTCTACAGAAAAGATGTAGGTAGGTAGGTAGGTAGGTAGGTAGGTAGGTGAGTACGTAGCTGGGGAACGGGGGTGGAGAGAGAGAAATGATGTTTTTTTGTTTTTTGTTTGTTTGTTTTTGCTGGTCATGGGACCTGAACTCTGGGCCTGGGCGCTGTCCCTCAGCTCCTCAGCTCAAGGCTAGCTCCTACCACTTGAGCCACAGCGCCACTTCCGGCTTTTTCTGCTTATGTGGTGCTGAGGAATCGAACCCAGGGCCTCATGCATGCAAGACAAGCGCTCTACCACTGAGCCACCTTCCCAGCCCAGAAATGATGTTTTCATAATGAAGGAATAGCATAAAACTTGGTGAGAGAACTTACGTGGGAATTTGTGGAAGAGGCTCAAGTGGAATAAATGTATCAAATTTCTTCTCATAAGGCACTCTGAAAACAGAAGAAAAAAATCAACTATAAAGTTAGTATGGCTTTACTGGGCATGGAAGCTCACAACTGCACTCTCAGCTATGTGAGAGGCAGATATTGGAAGGAACAAGATTCAAGGCCAGGGGCTGGGAAGGTGGCTCAGTGGTAGAGCGTTTGCCTTGCATGCCTGAGGCCCTGAGTTCGATTCCTCAGCACCACATAAACAAAAAGAAAAAAGCCGGAAGTGGCACTGTGGCTCAAGTGGTAGAGTGCTAGCCTTGAGCTGAAGAGCTGAGGGACAGCGCCCAGGCCCAGAGTTCAGGCCCCACAACCAGACCCAATAATAATAATAATAATAATAATTTAGGTCTGGGAATGTGGCTTAGTGGTGCCTAGCATGCATGAAGCCCTGGGTTCAATTTCTCAGGACCACATAAACAGGAAAAATGAGATGTAGAGCTGTACCTCAAGTGGTAGAGTTCTAGCCTTGAGGAAAAGATGCTCAGGGATAGTTCAAGCCCCAGGAGTGGAAAATAATAATAATTTATAGCCAGAAACTGATGGCTCAAGCCTGTAATCCTAGCTACTCAGGAGATTTAAATCTGAGGATTGTAGTTCAAAGCCAGCCCAGGCAGGAAAACCTGTGAGACTCTTATCTCCAATTACCCCACCAGAACACTAGAAATGGTGCTGTGGCTCAACGTGGCAGAGCACTATCCTTGAGCAGAAAAGCTCATGGAAAGCATCCAGACCCTAAGTTCAAGCCCCACAACCAACAAAAATAAATAATTTATAGGAAAGTAGAGGTTTGTTTCAGATAGCAGAGCACCAACCTGGAGTAAAAAAGTCAAGTGCCCTCAATTCAAGCCCCAGTTTTGGCAACAGACACAGGTAATACACACAGTTCCTTTAGAGTATTAACAAAGTAACTTGGAAATTAACATGCTCACAATGCAAAGTTCACTGGTGGTAGGGTTGCACCTGCTTTGTAGAAGCCCTTACTCTGTTCTGGAATCATATACGGATTATCTCCTGGATTCAGTGTTGGGATCCCATTCCTGGGATCGATATCTGTGGAAAGTTTGAAAACACATCACACAGAGGACTCAAGATGATCCACAGTGTTTATCTACCCAGCTGAGTGAAATCAAAGCAGACTATTTTAGCTGAGTAAGTTACATCAAGGTATCCTAAAGTTCTCTTCATGAGTACCTTGCCTTGAGGAGAGGCAAGCAGAAGGGTAAGCCTATGTTTACAATGTTTTCTAGGAGACGTCGTCATCATATCCTTCACCCTGGGCAAAGAAAAGAGGCTTGAATTCAGAGGCTGAGATCTGAGGATCGTGTTCAAAGCCAGCCTTGGCAGATAAATCCGGAGACAAATTGGAGGCTTTTATCTCTAATTAACCAGCAAAAGGCCAGAAGTGGAGATGTGATTCAAATGATAGAATAACCAGCCTTGTTCAAAGTGCTAAACAAGAATGAGAGGCCCTGAAGCTGGGTACCTGTGGCTCAAGCCTGTAATCCTAGCTACTCAGGAGGCTGAGATTTGAGGATCTGTTCAAAGCCAGCTGGGGCAGGAAATTCTGTGAGACTCATCTCCAATAAACCACTCAGAAAACCGGAAGTAGTGCAGTGGCTCAAGTCGCTAGCCTTGTGTTCAAAGCCCAGAGTTCAAGCCCCATGACCAACCAAAAAAAAAAAAAGAATGAGAGGCCCTGAATTCAAGCTCCAGTGGCAGCACAAAAATAAATAAGTATCAGTATGTGCTTTGGGCTAAGGGTTATGGGATATTTTCCTTGTGGATAATACAAAATATACTTTAGACAACCTCTAATTGAAGCAGAAATAATTCTCTCTTTGGACTTCAATGAGGTCTCTGCTAATAACTTTCTGAGAGAGCTTATCTGTTGACTTAAATGTTGCATTAACATTTTATGAAATTCAGAGAAACAGAAAAATGTGTATCCACATACATTGAGAGTTCTTAGCCAAAATATGTCCCCTGCCAAAAATCTCTCATTTGGGTGCTGGTGATTCATCTTGTAATCCTAGCTACTCAAGAATTTGAATCCTGGTTTGAAGCCTATGAGGGGTAGTAAAGCCTGGGAGACTCTTATCTCCCATTAACCACCAGAAAAGCCATTAGTGGAGGTGAAGCTCCAGTAGTAGAGTGCTAGCCTTGAGCACAAAAGCTCAGAGGTAGTGCCCAGGCCCTGAGGTCAAGCAACAGGACTGGTGTGCTCACACATGTGCGTGCGTGTGCACGCACACACACACACACACACACACACACACACGTGTCTCTTTGCTTTCCTGTCTTCCTGGCTGCACTGTTGTAAGATGGTGACCTTGCAGAGCTGGCCCCAGCATAAGTCTCAAGATCTGCACAATTCTACTTCAGGCCCTTGCTGGCCTTGAGCAGCAAAGGTCCCGGAGAACATTACCGTATTTCTTCCTCCCAAGCATCTTGTCCACTGTCCTTTCTGCCAGAGACCTCTTGTTGCCAAGGAAAACCCCATTAAAGAGGCACTGCTTTCCAACGTGGTAGGTGTGGATATTACTGCTGGGCCTTGGGTAAAATGTCCACTCCGGACGCTGGCCATCTTCTGCAAGACATCAAAACCATCAAAACTGAGTCAGGGTCTTGCTATGCAGCCCAGCATGGCAGCAAATTGCAATCATCTTAAGGCCTATTTTTGTGTATGCTGATCTTGAGGTTTGAACTCAGGACCTGGGTGCTGTCCCTGAGCTTTTTCACTCAAGGCTAGCACTCTACCACTTTACGCTATAATGTTACTTCCAGTTTTCTGGTGGCTAATTGGAGACAAGTGTCTCATGGACTTATTCCTGCCCAAGCTGACTTCTAACTGCAATCCTCAGATCTCAACCTGCTACGTAGTTAGGATTATAGTTGTGAGCCACCAGCACCCATCTGTCTCTAAGCTTTAGTGCTCAAGCCTGGTGCTAACTCCTTCAGCCACAGCATCTGAACTTTTTGTTGGTTAACTGGAGATAAGCATCTCACAGACTTTCCTGTCTGGGAACTTTCCTGGGAACTGGGATCCTCAGATCTCAGCCTCCTAAGAAGCAAGAATTCCAGGTGTGGGCCACGGGTATCTGCCAGCACTAGCCCCTGAAAAGCATGACCATCGCTCCCCCTAGGAGAGAATTAGAAGCCTGTCAGACACCTGGCACCAGTGGCTCATAGTACCGTGATCACTGAAAGGCCCAACACACCCAGAGGAAGACACATGAGTGACTCACCTGTCAGACACTTCAGCAAGCTCAGCTCCTCTCGGAGCCTGGGGCCTTCAGGCACTGAGTTTTCAGAAGAATGATTTGAACTCGGGGAGCAGCACTTCCCACCCAGATCTGCAGCAGTCCTGGAGAGAAAGTGAAGAGATTTGAGTCTTCAGTGCACTTAAAATGGGAGTTGGAATCTGCTCTTACATGTTACAGCGTTCCATTATTCTCACTTAGAGAGCTGAGCCTATTCCTCCAGAAAAGTCCCCAGCATGTTATTTGTTTATGCACAATTTTGGAGGGGAGGGGAACTGAAACATATTCAAAATATGTATACTGTAAAACAATGTGGCAGTTCTTAAAAAGTTAAATGTAGAAGCTAGGCATGATGGCTCACACCTGTGATCCCCAGATGTTGAAATACTCAGGAGCTGAAAACTCAGAAGATGGAGGCTCAAGGCTAATGAAGGTTAAAAAAAAATTAGCGAAATTCTATCTCAACCAGCACAAAAGCTGGGCATGGCGACAGGTGCCTGCCATCTCAGCTACACAGTAAACGCAAATAGGAGGATCACTGTCCAGGCCAGGCCAGGCATACACCTGGGACGCAGGCATTTTAGTTATTAGAACAATAATTAAGCAAAAAAATGTTGAGGCTGAAATACATGGTATAGTACCTGTGCCTAGCAAAAGCAAAGGCTTAAATTCAAGCCCAAATTCATCAAATTAACATAAAAAAGTTGAACAATTACTATCTGACCTAGCAACTCCACTAACTCCTAGAGACTTCCTTGTTCCCAGCCACCATCTGTGTCCCTTCCCCCAGAGAGGCAATCAAGTCCAGTGACAAATAGGACAGTCTCCCTCTCTCTCTCTCTCTCTCTCCAACTCAGGGCCTAGACCATATATATCCCTTAGCTTTTTCACTTGAGGCTGGTGCCTGCTTAAACCACAGCTCCACTTCTGATTTTGGGGTCATTTATTAGAGATAACAGGCTCACAGAGCTTCCTGCCAGAGCTGGCTTTGAACCACAATCCTCAGATCTCAGCCTCCTGCATAGCTAGGGTTACAGGCATGACCCATGGACACCTGGCTTAATGAATAACTTCTGGATCAGAGTTCACCGTGCAATGATGGCTTCTCACTAGACCCCAGGCCCTGACTTACTTGCAGTAGGGGCCCATGCTGTCAAGGCTTAGGGGCTCATGGGCACAAGAGCCTGTCTCCACTGCCGATGGGGAGCTGGTCTTCTCATTATAGGGTGCTGTGCTGGCAACACAGCCCTCAGATTGTACAGCATAGTTATACTCAGCATCTGCAGCACATAGATATCGCCCATTATTACCTTATTGAAGTACCTGCCATCTATCTTGTTCCCTATTCTGTGTTTTTCTATTAAATAGTTGTACAAAGGAGGTTCCCAGATCGGGTTACGAATTCAATGCATCATGATCAATATCACCCCACTGTTCTCCATCTTTCCCCATCCCATTCCTACCCTCAAGTTATGTAGTTCAATTTTGGTTTTTGTTGTTGTTGTTGTTGTTGTTATTGTTTTTGGTTGGTCACAGGGCTTGAACTCTGGGCCTGGGCGCTGTCCCTCAGCTCTTCAGCTCAAGGCTAGTGCTCTAGCACTTGGCCATAGCGCCACTTCTGGCTTTTTCTGCTTATGTGGTGCTGAGGAGTTGAACCCAGGGCCTCATGCATGCAAGGCAAGCGCTCTACCACCGAGTCACCTTCCCAGCCTTCAATTTTTACATAGTATATATTGAATGCAATGACAGTATTTGCTCACCCTAAAAATAAAAAGAAAGCCGGCACTGGTGGCTCACATTGTAATCCCAGCTACTCAAGAAGCTGTGATCTGATGACTGAGTTTGAAGCCAGCCCAGGCAGACAAGTCTGGGAGTCTCTTGTCTCCAATTAACCAGCAAAAAAAAAACCAGACATAGAGCTGTGGTTCAACTGGTAGAGTGCCAGCCTTGAGTGAAAAAGTTAAGGGACAGCACCTAGACCAAGTTCAAGGCCAGTATCAGCACCAAAAAAATAAAATAAAATAAAATGAAGCACTGCCAGTGAGTTCAGGCCAACCCAGGAAAGAAGTGCTGGTATGGAACAGTGCCCAGTTGTCAGTAGCGAAGACAAAGTCAGAACCAGTGATGAGGGCAGGAACAGGATCAGGGGACAGGGACAGAAATGGCCCCAGAAGCCTAAGGGAATCACCCTTGCATGAGGCCACAAAAGAAGTGTCAACAAGTATAGTAGAGACCGCACTTTGTGCCCACAATGCAACACAATTAGAAATCGATGCTAAAAACACAGCCAATACACTCCCTACACCCGGGAACTCACACCACACATCTAAATAATTCACATAAAAGAAATCATAATGCAAGTCAGGAGTGCTTAATAATCAATGGACAGAAATACTATATATCAAAGCTTTTTGGCTTCAACTAAAGCAGTAATTAGAAACTGGGAATCTTAGGTGTTTCATAACATTATTATTTTATGTACCACGAAGAACAAAGCTGCCAATTAAAGATACCTTAGAACTGCTTAAAAAGAAAGGGAAGGAAGGAAGGAAGCAAAGAAGGGAGGGAGGAAGGGAAGGAGGGAGGGAAGGAGGGAAGAAGGAAGAATTTTTCAATTGCTTCTGGAATGTTCATACAAGCAGGTTCACCAACAAAGACTATGACAACTACTTTGTACAGCACAGGTAAGATCAACTCCAACTTCAGAGATGCAAATGAACAATGACCTCTAAGCCACTGTAAGGCTTAAGGAGGGGGGGGGGGTTGGATTCTTTGTTTAGGTTGAGAGAAGAGGGTAGTGAGCTGTACTTCCTGACCCTGAGCAGTGAGCAATGGAATAAGTATTCCCTTGCTTGAATAATAAATTGCATGCTAACAACCACACAGAAAGTGGCCTGAAGCTGCTCTAACAGAGAAGGTGCATCTGATCCAAGGATAATCAAAGCAATCTCAATTTGTTGCTACACAACACTCTGCTCATTTCAAGCTGACAACAGGACCCTTCCAGAAGTTAGAGACCCTAGGACAGAGTACCTAGGCACTTCTCTGTGCAAATCTCCTACCACACCCAACCCCCAAAGCCCTGCCCCCCTTTTGCTAGCTAGCTCACCGGAAAAGTTCATCATTCATCAGAATTGTTATTCAAATGCAATAAATATCAAGTAAGCTAAGTCAGGAAATTCATACAAGTCTCTAAAACACTAAGGGGCAAGATGATGCAATACAAAAGATGCAAAGAAGGTTCTGGCAACCAGAAAGCAAGCAAGAGGAAGGGAAAATTTGTGGAGGAGATTATTTCTTTGGTACCACCTGTCAAACTCAAGATAACACATTCTACAACACATAACAAAAACCCAAAGCACTTTCCCAGACTTGTCATCTCCACTGACACAAAAGCGCTGACAAGGAGAAAGTAACGCACCAAGTGACTTTAGTTTAGTATGGGTATCTATTTTGGGGGGGGAGGGGTGGGGGTCGGTCGTGGAGCTTGAACTCTGGGCCTGAATGCTGTCCCTCAGCTCTTCAGCTCAAAGTGCGCACTCTACCACTTGAGCCACAGCCCCACTTCCGGTTTTCTGGTGGTTCATTGGAGATCAGAGTTTCATGGCTTTACCTCCCTCGGCTGACTTTGAACTGCAATCCTCAGATCTCAGTTTTTAACCAGCCCCCTCATCCCCCCCCCGCTTATCAGCTCAACAAGCAAACTAAAATCTAGGTCAGTGACTATTGCCTTTTTTCCTTTTGTGCCAGTACTAGGGCCTTGGTGCTGTCTCTTAAGTTTGTCACTTAGGGCTGGAGCTCTATCACTTGAGCCACAGCTCCACTTCCCCAGCTCCTTTTCTTTCTTTCTCACTTCCCAGTCTGGGGATGAGCAGTTCTGCTCTGCCATAGAGCAACTGGATCCCACCCCGGAACTTCTAAAATTGGAATTGAAAAGAAAGAAGCCTTTTCTAAGTTGACTGTCTCTAGAAAAGCTTGGTAACTGAAAGCTCACTAGCTCTAGAAAAGCTTGGTAACTGAAAGCTCACTAACACTCGGGCCTGCAGACGGCCACGGGCCTCACCCAGCCCTCCTGATTTCTTAGAACTCAACTGTGTCCACTCTCCATCTTGATCCTGCCGGAGTCTTCCTTTTCTGGAATCTTCTCCAGATCTCGGCAACAGATCACTCGTCAAAGGGAGGAGCGGGAAGATGTCAGCGCCTGGGCCCACGGTCAGTGCACATGGGGCTGCCTTCGCTTTTCAACAGTCACTGCAACCTGAGGACAAAACGAAAAACAAGGGCTGGGAAGGTGGCTCAGTGGTAGAGCGCTTGCCTTGTATGCATGAGGCCCTGGGTTCGATTCCTCAGCACCACATAAGCAAAAAGAAAAAAGCCGGAAGTGGTGCAGTGGATCAAGTGGTAGAGAGCTAGCCTTGAGCTGAAGAGCTGAGGGACAGTGCCCAGGCCCAGAGTTCAGGCCCACAACGGGACCCAAAAAAAAAAAAAGAAAAACAAGAGAAAGACCCTTGTGAGCAAGGTCACCTGTCCAAACAAAGCCACAGCCCTCCCCCCACCACACACCCCACCCCATACCCCCCACCCCCACACCCCATCCCCATACACACACCCCATCCCACACCCCACCCCACACACCCCACC